TCGCTTTTAGGAAACATGTCCTGTTCATCTCGGGATACATATGCAGGTTTTAGACGATCCACGTTTACCGTACTTTCCCGGCCATGAATAAGAATCCTAAAAACCTTCTCCCCTTGACTCAGCACTTGAAATGGACCCTCGTATGGTGGCTGCAGGCCTTTTTTTATGACATCGGTCCTCAGGAAAACATGACTGCACGACGAAAGGTCTTTACTTACAAAAACTGCTCTATGGCTCTGATGTCTGGACTTTACTGGCAGCAACTCCTGCAGGGTCTCTTTTAGTTTTCCAACAAAGTTTGCGGGATCCGCTGTACCAGTAGACGGATATAAAAATTCTCCAGGCAATCGTATCGGAGTTCCATAAACCATTTCCGCTGTCGTTACCTGCAAGTCCTCCTTCCATGCAGCTCTAAAACCAAAAAGAATGGCAGGTAAAACTCTGGTCCACTGACTTGTACTGTAGGCTCTAATCGCTCCCTTCATCTGTCTATGAAATCTCTCCACTTGACCATTTCCTGCGGGATGATAAGGGCTTGTTCGATGACGGGCCGAACCCAGGAACTTAGTCAGGGCATCAAACAATGAGGCTTCGAACTGTGTTCCCTGGTCTGTTGTGATTCGTAGAGGTATTCCAAATCTAGCAATCCATCCAGCATAGAAAGTCTCAGCAACCGATTTGGCTGTTATATCTATGAGCGGGTAAGCTTCTGGCCACTTGGAAAAACGGTCGACACAAGTTAGACAGTAGCGAAAACCTTCTGATGGCGGCAAGGGACCTACGATGTCGATGTGCACGTGCTCGAACCTGGCATTTGGTGGAACAAATGTACCAAGCTTGCTCTGTGTGTGACGTGTTACCTTAGAAGGTTGGCAAGCTAAGCATTGCTGAGCCCATGTTCTAACATATTTCTTTATACCAGGCCATACATATCGCTCTTCCGCCAACCTTATAGTAGCCTTAATACCTGGATGTGAAATCGCATGTAGTTTGGAAAAGACGTTTTTTCTGTCCACTTTCGGTACGAATAGTCGAATCCGTTTGGTAGATACATCACAAAACAGTTCCACACCAGGATCACCTATTACGAATGGTTGAAGTACTAAAGACGAGTTACCGGTTTGAGCTAAAATCTCGGCTAGTTCCTGGTCACCTTTTTGGTTGTTAGCCATTTCTTGAAAATTGATATGGGAAGGTGTTTCTATGGTAGCAATGTTTACTCTGGACAGCGCATCTGCAACCACGTTATCCATTCCCTTCACGTGCTGAATATCCGTAGTGAATTGGTCAATAAAATCCAAATGACGCGATTGTCTTGGCGAACACTTATCTTCCTTTTGTTTAAAGGCATATATAAGCGGCTTGTGGTCAGTGTAGATAGTGAACGGCCAACCCTCTACCATATGACGAAAGTATTTGACGGCCATGTACGCAGCCAAGAGTTCTCTGTCGTAAGCACTATACTTTTCTTGAGACGGTGCAAGCTTCTTTGAATAAAAACCAAGTGGTTGCCACTCTTTCTCGATCTGCTGATGCAAAGCAGCACCCATCGCAGTATCTGAAGCGTCTACCACCATCGCCAACTGTGCATTCATGACAGGATGGTACAGCGTGGTTGAATTCGCCAATTCTTTCTTGCTCTTCTCAAAGGCAGTAACTGCTTCCTCCGACCACTTGATAGCGCTTTTATCATTTTTCTTAGCACCTTTTAAATATTCGTTTAAAATTGCTTGAGTGTGGGCAGCTCTAGGTATGAATCTTCTATAAAAATTCAAGACCGCAAGAAATCGACGCAGCTCTCTTATTGTAACTGGTTGAGGAAAATTAGCAATTGCAGAAACTTTATCAGGAAGCGGTGTAATACCCTTTTCCGTTACACAATGCCCTAGGAATTCTACTGAAGACTGTCCCAGGACACATTTGCTTACGTTGAGTGTTACACCATATTCAGCAAAACGTTGAAAAACTCGTTTTAAATGCGTTAAATGTTCTTCTTCGTTCTTCGAAGCTACCAATACGTCATCAAAATAAGGTACACAAAATTCAAACTCACCTAAGACTTGATGAATGAAGCGTTGGAAAGTTGCGGCAGCATTTGATAATCCAAACGGCATATACAAAAACTCGAACAATCCAAACGGGGTTGTTACCGCAGTCTTTGGTACGTCTTCGCTGCGCACCGGAATCTGATAATACGCTTTTTCCAGGTCCAAGGTAGAAAATATCCTTTTACCTTCCAAAACCTGAAAACAGTCTTGCATGTTGGGAACAGGGTACCTATCTGGCACGGTCACACCATTAAGACGACGAAAATCACCACATGGTCGCCAGTCGCCGTTCTTCTTTAACACCATGTGTAACGGACTTGCCCAACAGCTTTTGGAAGGCTGACAAACCCCTGATGCTACCAGAAATTCAAACTCTTGTTTTGCAGCCTTCAACTTATCTGTCGATAAACGTCGAGGTTTCGAAAAAACAGGAGGTCCTTTTGTCTGTATCCAATGTTCTACTCCATGCTTAACTTTTCTTGGCGTGACACCTGATCTAATCAGAGCAGGAAATTCAGACAACAAATTGTGGAATTTGGAGTTCTCTAAAATTACCTTTACCGCTGAAGCATTCCCAGTACACCGGGTACCTCTTGTTTGCAACTTGGTCAAAGGATCAATTACTGTAGCATTTTTGACGTCTATTAATAAACCAAAATTGCGTAAGAAGTCAGCTCCGATAATTGGATGAGGCACGGCAGCGATGATAAAAGGCCAGTTGAACTCTCTTCTGAGTCCGAGGTCTAATTTCAACAGGCGTTGGCCAAACGTTGGAATGGTCGTACCGTTTGCGGCGAACAACTTCATCTGAGAGGAATGGTCACTGGATGCATAAGCAGCACAAGGTATCACAGAGACGTCAGCTCCCGTATCGATGAGATAACGTGAGGATGTAGACTTGTCCGTCAGATAAAGTCGCTGAATCATCGCTTCGCCGTCATCCTTATGACTAGATGACGGCCTCAGCAGTTTTCCGGCAGGAACGAACATGGAGGTCGGCATTTTGTGGCTCGTTGTTTAAATATTTTATGATACCAGCAATACTGTGAATTTGCAGACTGTCGGCTTCGGCTTGTAGAGCGTTTCTGACTAGTACTTCTCGACCGGTCACTTGTACGGGCTTCCAACCGTGCGAGACGAGCTGTGATCTCTGTCAATAAAGACCGTAAATCCGTCTGATCCGTCGAATCAGCAACTACGCTGACTGACTGTGCGTTAGTTGTTGTAGCCATGATACCATCCGCCATCTCTGCCAGCTTGTCCAGGTTATCGTTGGAAATCGCCAAAATCTGTTGAACGTTAGTAGGCAACCTCTGCAAAAATAAAGATTTAAGAATTTCATCGTTAATTCTCGCTCCGGCTTTATTCCGCATCTCCAGAAGCAGTCTTGAAGGACGGCGGTCGCCAAGTTGCATCCCCGAAATCAAATCCCTTAAGCGTTGAGCTTCAGATTCAGCATATTGAGAGCACAATCTTTTCTTAAGTGCGGCGAAAGGCTTATCCACAGGTGGACTGATAACAATGTCGCTGATAATCGCCAGTTCCTCCGGTTGTAGAGCAGCAACTACATGGTGGAATTTCGTTGATTCTGTACTTACTCCCGCAAGAGTGAACTGACTTTCTATTTGTCTGAACCACAATTTTGGATTTGCTCTCCAAAAAGGTGGCGGCTTTACAGTGACACGAGCAATTTGTTGATCAGCAGCTTCAGTAGATTCGGGCATTTTTCGCATTAATCCAAAATTTATAAGTCCAACAATAGAAGTAATTTGTACTCACGGCTTGACAAAAAACTTTAAAACTTGAAACGTACCAGCATTTCCCCGTAATCCATCAACTAGTAGAATTTCTCAAAAGCAGTTTGCAGAAACAGAAATATACGTGTTCGTTTCCAGGTCACCAATTGTATATGGTTCGGTGACGGGAATGTAAGACTTTCAAAAATGAAACAATATGGCAAAGAAACATCCTCTTTAATATTGAAAGATAACAAACCATCTACGAAACTTCACAAACTCCAATTAACAAGTCATTCTTTAAAAACATTAAAAGTTGTTATTAAAAGAACAATTAAAAACTTAAACTTTTGATTGTAAATGTCGCCTTCTGCAGATGGGCGTCACCGGGAAGAAATGGGATATCGGGATGAAGTCTCGGACGCTGCACAACAACCTCTCCCGAAGGCAAACTGTCATCTGCTTAAATACTGGACTTCAGCCTTTTCACTCCCCTGCCTTGGCCGCCGGTTGATGCTCCTCCGCCGGTATTCCTCCGCGCAGGAACTATTTCGGTTCGTCCTCCTACCTTCGGACTTCGTTCCCATCCTCGATCCTTCTACCTCAGTTTTTCATGCAATCTGAGCTGACGCAACCAACAGCCTCTACACTACCTATACGGCGGAATTCACTTGAAACTTGTTTTAGATAACAAAGTGAGCGTTAAAGTTTTCAAAAATACACGTATGTGTAAAAAATTAATATCCAAATATTTAAAAAGCATTTGTTTAGTTCAAATCATTCTACGTTAAGAGCGTTTTTATATCACGTTTATATAAATAAAATAACAATGGATAAATTGCATTTTTTTTAAAATTCTTTCAATGAGAAATCAATTTGAAATTAGTTTTAGATTACAAAGTAAGCTTCAATTTCTTTTAAAAAATAGCTATAAGATGTAAAGAAATAAATACTAAAAATTTTTTAAGAAGCATTTGTTTTTGCAATGAGGAATTCATTTAAATCTTGTTTCATTTTAAACAGAAAGTCTGAGTTTTCAAATATACCCATAATAGTGAAGAAATAAATAACCAAATATTTTAAGAAGCATTTTAGTTGTTCAGTTCATACCTTGCAAGAGCCTTGCTACGTCATCCCTAATAAGAACCTATTATTGGGGCTGAACTCACATCCATTGTATCGCTCATCACATTGTATCATTAAATAACTTTACTATACATGGGACAAATTTACTTACTCCAGTGCTTTTAAAAATCTTTCTCCAGTCCAAGGCAAGCGATAAATAGTTTCTTCTATTTTTTCATGTTGATTTGAATTTGAAAAGGCAGTTGAAGTGCATACCAAAGCCTGAAATTTAAGGTTAAAATATATTTTGTCTCCCTAACTTCTAGAAGGGATATTAAATTTTTATTACAAATTAAAGATATTCTTACCTCTAATTTCTTCAATTTCCGCGCAAATTCTATCACATGTTTCACACTAACGGAATTTTGATTTGCCATGTACCTGTAAAATTGATTAATTATTGCAATTAGTGTTTCAACTTCTTCTATCAATCTACGGAGACTATAAATACAAGGGACACTTAAGTTATCATGCATAATTAAACTGTTAATATGATTTTTGAATGTCCAACTAGGTGGATGTCATTCTGAGCGATGGTTTAAGGGCTAGAAAACTAGACTCCCATTTTTAAGAATTGTTGTTGTTGTTGTTGTTGTTGTTGTTGTTGTTACTAATCCTTCATGACCTAACAACAGCTAGATCTGGTCCATGAGTCCATGTATTCTAGAAAAGTCAATCACAAGAAGTGGAGAGGATTTTAGGCCTTCCAAACCTAGACTCAGGCAGTCCAATGGCATAAAAACTCATGGAGAAGGGATCGAGCTGCTTCTTTTAATCTAAGAGACCGGAGCACCCGAAGGGAGAAGTTGTTGTTACTAATCCTTTAAGATTTGTCAAACAGAAATGAAAAGAAAAATTGATTTGAAATAAATATATAAAAAAAAGCTGGCAACGAAAGTGGAAAAAATAAAAGTGAGAAACAAACACAAATAAAAGAAACCACTGAAGCTGAAAGAGAAAAAATATCAAGAAAAGCAGCGCAAGAAGAATCACAGTTCATCTTTTTTGTCTCACGTCATCTGTGGTTTTTCTAGTTTTGTTTCTCACCTTTATTTTTTCCATTTTCGATGGCAGCTTTACGTTTGTTATGTCAAATCCAATTTTTTTAAGACTCACGCCTAGCAAATCTTGAAATCGGCTCCGAGTATATTATTACTATTTTATTTCATTTTACTCTTTGTACATTTTCTGAGCCCTTTTTTTAATTGATGAATTAATGGTAGCAAAACAAAATACAAATAAAAGTTAAACACCCAAAACAGCAAATTCCTACAATTTTCTTGAATATACAGAGAGAACATAGCATGAAGTTGAAAGTGAAAAATAAAAATTTTCATAATATTTGCATAGTTTTCCTTTTTCAACTCATTTAGGAAAATATTCTGCAAAATAGAATGCCGTTTATAGAATTTATCCTTCATTCATACACCCTTTCATAATTTTAAAGTCTACGCGAATTATTTGCATTCTTCGGGGGTGGCTGTTCATAAACCAGAACCCATTCCATTTGTACAGAAATATAGTTGTAAAAAATAAAAATAAGCTGTTTATTATACTAGGCAATTAAAATTAAATAATTAAAGTAATTTAAAAAAGGATACAATTTGTTTAGAAATTCAGTTAAAAAATTAAACAAATCTTGTATGAAAGTGTCATACATCGAAACTGCGGTGCTCGCCACTCTCACCAGTCTTACCGCCAGCTTGGCGATTTAAGATCTTCAGGTAAAAGCAACCCTGTGATCCTAGTGATATATATTCTGTCCTTCAGAGGAAGAACAGCCATATGCAGACGACACAGGAATTATAATTAAATCAAGAAATCCAAATCAAGCTTTACTTAAACTACAGGATCAACTAATAGAAGTCGAAAACTGGTGCAACCACTGGAAAATCAAAGTAAATGCAGAAAAATCACAACTCCTCATAATCCAAAAAAGAAGAATCAAAATCCAACAAAATTACAAACCCAAACTCTTTAATACCCCTATTCCAATAGTCAAGAAAGCAAAATATCTCGGTTTAATCATCAATAGCAAACTCTCCTGGTCAGATCATGTTAAACAAATCACCGACAAAGCAATGGCAGCAGCATATTCCATACAACCACTTATCCAAAATTCCAACGTCTCATTAAATCTCAGAAAACTGCTTTATACAAGCATGATCCGACCTATCCTCACCTATGCCTCTCCTGCCTGGGCAACAATTCCAGATCACTTAATGAAAAAACTTAATCAAACCCAGAATAAACTCCTCAGAAAAATCACCCGTGCCCGCTGGTTTATCCGAAATAAAAATATCCACCAAGACCTCAAAATCCCTCCTCTCTCTGAATATATCAACAAATTAAACGCAGATTTTTACAAAAAAGCCGAAGAATGCACAACAGCCAATTTCAACCAGATCCTCTCATTCGAAAACTACAAAAAAGATTCTCACCTCAGACCAATAGCAGCTTTTTATACATCAGATGCCTCCTTTCATCATTACCAACAAAAATAGTAATATATCATCACAGCCTCATTGGTAGAGTATCCGCCTACCACCACACTGATCCCAGGTTCGACCCCAGCCGACATCACTTTTCCAATAAATCTCCAGAATCATCCGAAAATCAACCTGCATCGTCTTCTTCATCCAGTATCACAACAAAGCATTTCTCACTGTAAAAAATCATCAAAGTCTTCAATCCATCATCTTGATTCCTCATCAACTTCCTCAATTCTTCATCCAGATTATTCTTCATCATGTGTCCAGATTCCTCATCAACTTCCTTCATCTAGATTATCCAGAATCCTGAAAACCAACAGTAGCAAGTGCTGCCACCTAGTAACTCCAGTGCAGTATATTATCTAAATAAACTCAGAACTTTCAAATAGAACTCTAATAAAAATTATATTATATTACAAAATACTACAATAGAATTTTCAAATATGTAAATAATCAATCTGTAAACTCTAAATCATCAACTGTAAATTTATATATTTTATTTTTT